ATATCGCGAGCGAACCGCAGTAACGGACAAATTTATCAATTTGTCCGCGGCCGCAAGGGAGAAAACTGAAGAACGCGAACGAAAGAAATTTGAAGGAAAACTTTCAAGTAACATTTTTTATTATTATTGTATTATTATTTCGTTGTATTATTTCGTCGAAGCACGGTGCGAGCTTGTTTGTTGCATGTTGATTCGAATTTCATCACCGTTGTTGACCGTGATTCTACTCGGTACTTCGTGATATACATGTAGCTTCACCATTTGCATAAAAAAAATTAGAATTTTTTATTTGTGTCCTTCCGCGGACATGCAACACACTTAAAAAAAAAAAAAAAAAAAAAACGGACTTCGAGCATTCCAATGAGAAAGGATGAAGAGGAGTGCGGCATGAAGCTTCTATCTATCGCGGATCAGCGGCATTACTCTGTCGTCTAATGATTAATGATCTCTCGCTTTCTTACCTGCTTGCTTATAACTCGCTGACACTGACATTATGTCCCGACAAAAGTCTGGCGAGCGTCCAAAATCCTCCCGAACGTGCTTTATGACACAGTTTAGAAACATTAAACTGCTAAATTTGTTCGTTCGTGTGTAAGAAGAGTGTGTACGAAGAAGAGTGAAGTATCGAGCCGTTCTCGACTGTCCTCAGAACTATTCTGATCGACGTAAATTATCCAGATAATTACGACGCGTAAGGATGCTTTGCGATGTATTTTACGAACTGCTTGTCATAAATGTCGTACAGCGTTTTTTATATATCCTAACAACTGATATTATATAATTCTATATTTTTGATAAATCAATTTTTATCAAAACAGTTAATACGACAATTTTGAAAAATTCTAAATTTCGAAATATATCTAGTATTCGGAAAATACACGAAAAATGAAATTTTATATTTATTTTCCAGAGATTTAGTAGAGCTTATCTCAAAGATACTTTTTATCATGCTTGCGTTACGAGGCGTGGCAAGTAGTTTCGAAAAGCTACGAGCGGATAAAGGCGCGAAAGAGTACGAAATACGCATTTGAGCTTATTAGATAAACGAGGAACGTACGCGATTTAAGTGACTCGGTTAATTCGCATGCATCTGTGTCTATTACGACATTTTACGACATATATACATATATGTAAATTTCACGTTCCTATCTCCCACTTGTTTTAACTCCATTTATTAAGTTGCGTAATAAATTTCGCCGCAGCTGCATCAGCAATCGTTTTAAAGTCACGGCGAACCGTGGAAAGCGGTTGATTTGCAAATAATGCAAAATTATTCGTGAGATACTTCTTACGATTTAAATTTACAATTAAATTGACGCGGATTATTTACATACTGATCCAGTTTTATCGTTTCTCAGTTTCGTTTCGGTATCTCTCTCTCTCTCT